ACACCACTGCAAATGACCTAATCTGAGGAAAAATAGAAATCGATTACACCCTGTCACTCAAGTGGGTCTAAAACTGACCGTATGCTGAAAGAAAGGAAACTAAAGCGGTTGCTTCAATTAATTTACACAGAGGTGTATATGATAAGTCTTTGAAGCATTTACATCAATTTTTTTCATTCTCAGTAAATGTTGGCTCTCGGTATTTTGACGGGGAAAAGATGAAGGTAATAAAATAATTTACTGAAACCTGGACCCTCCATCCTGCGTGCAAAGCTGTTTGACGCAGGAGTGGAGGGGGTCAGTTGATGATCAAGGAAAGAAGGAAAAAAACCAGAAGTGTGTATCTACTACGTTAAATTGTTTTGATAAACGTAATTTTTAACCCATGTCTTCTCGAGCCGATTGAAATCTGAAATGCTTGTGTTGACCACTAAAGAAACCCACTCCTCATCGAAGTCTTGACAACCAAATTGTCATTTTCATGACTTAATTAAATCTTATTTTCATTCCGAATATTATAACGAAATAGTTCTTTCCATGACAGAAAACAAATACTGTTCTCAAAACAATGCTTTACGTTGAAGACTCTGAAGGCATGAAAGGATTCTTTCACGAACTTCGACAACTCACTTCAAATCACAAGAACTATCAAGAACTTTCACATTTCATACCTTCAAGGTAAATATATCCTTTTAAGTGGGTTGGATCTCGCTTAAACCCTTTTATTGTACCTTCTTCTTTGTAATTTGTATTGTTTTGTATACGCTGGCATTTTTCTAGTGATATTTTATGTTATTTGATTGATATTGATTGTAAACTTGATCTTTTTCCTACAACTAATATTGAGCCTTATTTTAGAAAAAAATAAGTTACTTGTTCAGGAATTTTTCTGGGTGCACAAACCAACAAATTTGCGCATCGCTAATATTTAATAAAATTTTTTTATTTATTTTATTTTGATAAAATGGTTTTGGTTTTATATAGCATTGGCTATGTATTGTCACTTTTTATGTTTCGCTTTGTTGTCACTTGATCTCCTTTCTTCGCAGTCTCTTTTAATTGAACCCCTAAAAATACAGTAATAGTTTTCTGTTTTTTTTTCCCAATTTTTTCATACACTTAGAGTATCTTTCTTTCTTTCATTTTTTTTTTTTTCTTTCTTTCCTTTTTCTTTCTTTCTTTTTCTTTCTTTCTTTCTTTCTTTCTCTTTCATTCTTTTTCTTTTTCTCTCTGTTTTCTTTCTTTCTTTCTTTCTTTCTTTCTTTTAGTTTCTTTCTTTCTTTCTTTCTTTTTTCTTTCTTTGTCGCGCTCTTTCTGTCCGTGTATCTTTCTTTTTCTTTCCTTTTCTCTTTCTTTCTTTCTTTCTTTCTTTCTTTTAGTTTCTTTCTTTCTTTCTATCTTTCTTTGTCGCTCTCTTTCTGTCTGTGTATCTTTCTTTTTCTTTCCTTTTCTCTCTTTCTTTCTTTCTTTATTTTAGTTTCTTTCTTTCTTTTTTCTTTCTTTCTTTATCGCTCTCTTTCTGTCTGTGTATCTTTTTCTTTCTTTCTTTCTTTCTTTCTTTCTTTCTTTCTTTCTTTTACTTTCTTTCTTTCTTTCGTTCTTTCTTTATCTTTCTTTCTTTTTAGTATCTTTCAGTCTTTCTTTCTTTCTTTTTTATCGCTCTCTTTCTGTCTGTGTATCTTTCTTTTTCTTTCTTTCTCTCTCTCTTTCATTCTTTTTTTTTTCTCTTTCTTTCTTTTTTTCGTTCTCTCTGTCCTCCTTCTTTCTTTCACATGTACAAATTGCACTGATATTTAATTGATATTTTATTGACAACTATTTATTTTTAGTTATATTAACTGCTAAATATTTTAAAAAAGGAAGACCGACAAAGAAAAAAAGAATTAAAATTAACCTCAGCGTATCTATGCAGCAATTCTAACAATTTTTCTTTATTCTTTTCAGATGTTTTGAAGAGTTTCTCATTGAACGAAATGTTGACAGAATAAATAAAACGTCATCCATCTTTCATCCTATCTTCGAATATATCATATCAATCTTTATATAACATATATGACGATCAGTGATATTATGTATGGACCTGGTCTTGGGTTTATTCTCGAGAAATGGGAGATTATCGCACTCTCAATGTATTTTATTCACTGTGAATCCTATTCCCTCCTAATCAGGCAGGCATTTATTAAGTCGGAATCAAGGTAAAGAGTCTTACGGCGAACCACCATTATTATACAGAATATCTTCTGCAAAGCTCATAAAATGATTTCAGAGTTTTCTCGAGGTTTCGCCGATGTACACCTTTGGGCATTTTGTACAGTCTATTCCGCATATTCCTGCCTCTGTTCTGTGGTTGTTGCTATCAATGATCAGTGATATTATGTATGGACCTGGTATTTGGTTTATTCTCGAGAAATGGGAGATTATCGCACTCTCAATGTATTTTATTCCCTGTGAATCCTATTCCCTCCTAATCAGGCAGGCATTTATTAAATCGAAATCCAGATCAAGGGTATTACGGCGAACAACCAACGCTTTTAAAACGTTATTATACAGCAAATCGTCTGTAAAGGTCATATAGTGATTTTATAGGTTTCTCGAGGTTTCGCCAATGTACACATTTGGGCATTTGGTACAGACTATTCCGCATATTCCTGGCTCTTATGGAGTTGGTACGTAGGCATATATGCCTATATTTGTTATGCTTGTTGCTATTATTATTATCTGTGGAAGAATATATATACCAGAGCTTTTAAATTCTCTACATGCATTATACTCCTGCGATATATATATATATATATATATATATATATATATATATATACATAATATTATTATAATATTTTTATTATAATAAATAATAAAAACATTTTATATCGCTGCACAAAAATTTTCATGTTTCAGTACTAAGATGGTACTTCTTCAGGCGATGGTAGATAACTTGTCATAAAATGGTCTACTTTGTATTGAGCACTTTTTAAAAAAAATAATGTCTACGAACTGTGTATGTTTTTTATCATATGTTATTTCTATCTATCTATCTATCTATCTATCTATCTATCTATATACATTGCGTGCCAAATTATTATCGAGATAACCTTTTTTCTAATATTTCAAAAACTGCCCAATCAATTCACACAGAATTTTCACACACTATTGGCAACACTGACCTGCGCAAGCACTAAAATTTTCGTACTGATCTGCGCAATGTAAACAAACCGGCGCCGTATTTGTTATCAGCACGGTGATTTGAGCGTGCCAAATTATTAGAAAGGTTTAGCAAAATTCACAGAATTGAGCAAACAAAACGTTTATTAATGTTGCACGTGAATGTTTATGATCAAAAGAAGCTAACAAATAAGGTAATCAAACAAATAATAACAAACAAAGACACAGTTTTAAACAAATTAATACAAACAAAGGCACAGTTTTAAACAAATTAATAGGGAATGTGCTTTCCCTGTTTTGAAATTACTTGAAGAAGTCGACGATTCATAGAATTTGTTAATTGTAGGATGTCATCTGCTGTAATGCCGCGAGATATGTCAAGAATTGCTTCCCACAACTCAGCGTTGCTCCTGAATTGTTGTCCGTTGGCGAACAGTCTTCGCTTCATAATGCTCCAAAGGTTTTCGATTGGGTTCAAATCCGAACAATTTGCTGGCCACTTCATTTTTTGAGGTCCATCAAAGCCTAACTGTTTCAAATATTCAGTAGTCTTGTGAGCAGCATGTGAGGGAGCATTATCTTGCATAAAATCAATGGCCCTTCTGAAAGCAACTCTTTGCCTTTTCATCCACGGCTCAAGATGCTCCTTCATAAACGCTATGTATGCATCAGCAGTCATTTTGACGCCATCTGGTACTGTCCATGGGCCCACTAATGTTTTTCCAATAATACCACCCCAGATCATTTTGCCTCCACCGCCTTGTTGGTGTCTCAAACGCTGATGGCAATTCTGTCCGTTCATTACCCAGCCTTTGCACCATCTATCTGGCCCATCAAGTGTTGCTCGAGTTTCGTCTGTGAACAAAAGTCAATCTTCATATTGTCCTCGGCCCATCTCAGTCGATTTTGAATGTGATTTCTCGTCAACGGAGGCTTCGATACAGGCTTGACTGTTGTTGCTATTTCCCTCAGATACTGACACCGAGTACTTTTAGACACAGTAGGATCCTCATGCGACTGAAAAGCTCTTGACCGGTAAGTCAAGGGTACTTCGTGGCCTCTCGTTTAAGCCGTGACATGAGACGACGTGAAATATCCCTCGGCTTGCCTTTATCTGCCCTTTTGCGTACTTGTGTAGGGTCGGCGGTGAACTTTTTCACTGTTTGATGCCACCTCCCTGTCATTTTAGAAATTTCTAGGGTAGATTTACCTTTTGAGAGTTCTGGGGTGATAATTTTCTTTTCAGCATCACTTAAACTGCTTTTACGGCCCATCATTTCACTAAATTCTTAGACTTTTCTAATAATTTGGCACGTTCAAATCACCGTGCTGATAACAAATATGGCGTCAGTTTGTTTACATTGCGCAGATCAGTACAAAAATTTCAGTGATTGCGCAGTCTGCTTTGCCAACATTGTGTGAAAATTTTGTGTGAATTGATTGGACGGTTTTTGAAATATTAGAAAAAAGTTATCTCCATAATAATTTGGCACGCTGTATATATATATATATATATATATATATATATATATATATATATATAGTAATAAAAAATACACAGTATCCCACACCTTACGCACAACTAGAAATTTCAATAACAGCGGCAATTTATGTGCAATTCGTTTGTTTATAGACTTAGACTTATATATATATATATATAAAGGCGTTTCAATTTTTTTATTCTGGAAACGTTTCGTTTAAAGAGAACGTCATGAAAACAACAGAAAAATAAAACAAAATTATTTGATTTCTTTTTCTTTTTTTATATTTAACAGTTAATAAATTAAAAATAGATAGATTTGAATAAAATAAATAACAGTGAAATATCATGCTAATTTTTACATGAGAAAGAAAGGAAGAAAGATAGAAAGAGAGAGAGTAAAGAGGAAAGAATAAAGAGAGAGAGAAAGTAAGAAAGGAAGAAATAAAGAAAAAACAAATGGGAGAAAAAAGAAAGAAAGAAAAAGAGAAAGAGGGAAAGAAAGAAAGAAAGCAAGCAAGAAAGAGAGAAAGAAATGGAGAAAGAAAGAAATGGAGAAAGAAAGAAAAAATATAAGAGAGAGAGAGAGAAAAAAGATAGAAAGAAAGAAAAAGAGAAAGAAAGAAAGAAATGGAGAAAGAAAGAAAAATACAAGAGAGAGAGCGAAAGAGAAAAAAAGAAAGAAAGAGAGAAAGAAAAAGAGAAAAAAGGATAAGAAAGAAGGAAAGAAAGAAAGAAAGAAAGAGAGAAAGAAAGAAATGGAGAAAGAAAGAAAAATACAAGAGAGAGAGAGAGAAAGAAAAAGAAAGAAAGAGAGAAAGAAAAAGAAAAAGAGGGAAAGAAAGAAAGAAAGCAAAAGAGAGAGAAAGTAAGAAATGGAGAAAGAAAGAAAAATACGAGAGAGAGAAAGAAAGAAAGAAAGAAAGAGAGAAAGAAAAAGAGAAAAAGGGAAAGAATGAATGAAAGAAAGAAAGATAGAAAGAAAGAAATGGAGAAAGAAAGAAAAATACAAAAGAGAGAGAGAGAGAAAAGAAAGAAAGAGAGAAAGAAAAAGAGTAAGAAAGAAAGAAAGAGAGAAAGAAATGGAGAAAGAAAGAACAATACAAGAGAGAGAGAGAGAGAGAGAAAGAAATAGAGAAAGAAAAAAGAAAGAACGAGAGAAAGAAAGTAAGAAAGAAAAAGAAAGAGTGAGAGAAAGGAACTGAAAGATTTTGCAAAAATAGGCAAAAACAGAAAATTTTTGATATTTTTGTTGTTCGATTAAAAGAGATTGTGAAAAATGGGGATGAAGACGCATTGTCAAAGATGACGACGGATACTGACCTACATCTTACACACCCACACAAGCATGTATATATATATATATATATATATATATATATATATATATATATATATATATATATATTTGTGTGAGTGTGTTTTTTACGTGAGTGTTTCCTGATATAACTAAAATATATATCTGTTAAATGACAATATGAATAAATACAAGCGGAAAGCTTATCGTAACCGACGCGTTTCGTCCTCTCATTCATCGCGTTAACTTTAAGGATTTTATTTTGCATCAGGTATTTATAAAGAAAAGTAAGAACGTTGTTAGTAATTAAAAAAAAAAAAATTATAGACGCTCATAAATATTCAGCAGGTAAACTGAAAAGTCGAGTTAAATTATGGAGGACGCTAAGTGACATAATTTAATGTCTAATAAACTATAGTGAATTAATGATATTGTTGAAGTTTTTACCTAATCAATATTTAAATTATTTAAATTATTTTAGTTTGGAATTTACTCTGGTGACCTCCACAAAAAACGCGATACATAAGGATTAAAATGAATATTTGAAAATGAAAAATCTTTAGTGAAGCTTTTATTTTAATTTGAATTTCAAACTAATAGATTAATTTAATATTTCCAATAAGCAAAATACTTTGCTGTGTTTCAAAAACTAATTTCACTTCAATGTTTTTTTTTTTTTTGCTAAAATAGCTGATTAACGCCCTTTTTCGTCGTCTTTCATCGGAATGTAATTCTCTTTATTAAAAAAAATCTTCCAAAAATAAAATATACTTTTTTGACATTTTTTTAAAGAATATTAACTGATTTAAAGTATAATTAATCTGATTTGAAACAAATATTGTCTACTTTAAGTATAAAATAGTGCAGAAATGCAATTTTTAACCTGAGAGTAGCTTATTTGAGTGTTAACAGCCTGATGACAGGTTTAATGTTTTACGGAGTCTTTCTCTGTAAAACATAATTTAAGAAGATGACGTAAGCGTTTTCTTTTATATAGTTTTTAAGTACTCAGTGATCTTAAAAATTTAGGAAAATATTATTGAATATTATTGAACTTTAGAAATGTTGTCTTTAAATTTACTACTGCTATCGCTCTTAATTCCTAATAATCTCGTGTATGGTAGCCCGCACGTACAGAAATTGGCACCTTTATATATAAAATATATAAAAAAAATATTGGTGTATGATGGCTTGTGTTAAGCTTTTCCATTTATCAATAGTAAATATAGTTTTCACTTAATATTATCTAAAATAGCTGAAAATTAATACAGAATTTTAAAAAGTTTAAAAGTTTAAAATTTTTCTAATTAAAATTTTAAAAAATTTATAATTAATCTGATTTGAAAAAATTCATTATACATTGAAACACTTTTTTCTTAAGATATAATGTCCCTAATATATCTTATTTATAAAAACAAATAAAAGCCTTTATACTTAATGTGATAATATTGAATTTTTTATTTTACGATTCAGAGCAGATTTTCGGTAAATGATGTTTATGTTTGACAAAAACAAATTGACAATTTAAGTTTTCAACGCAGTTCTGTGTTTAACTAATATAAATATGAATAGGCTGAAACTAATATAAATATGAATAGGCTGAAATTTGAATTTCTCTAATAACTAATATTAATATGAATAGGCTGGAATTTGAATTTCTCTAATAATTAATATAAATATGAATAGGCTGAAACTAATATTAATATGAATAGGCTGAAATTTGAATTTCTCTAATGACTAATATAAATATAAATGGGCTGAAATTTGAATTTCTCTAATAACTAATATAAATATGAATAGGCTGAAACTAATATTAATATGAATAGGCTGAAATTTGAATTTCTCTAATGACTAATATAAATATGAATACGCTGAAACTAATATTAATATAAATAGGCTGAAATTTGAATTTCTCTAATAACTAATATAAATATGAATAGGCTGAAATTTGAATTTCTCGAAACGTCATACAATTAGGTAAATGGGGTAACAGATGTAGATAAAAAGTTTTTTTTTAATAAGATTTTCTAAAAAAATAATTTTGAAAATAATTTAATTCATTTGTGAATAAGTTCTGAAAATTTCATAAAAATTCAACAATTATTTGATTTTTGCAAGAATTTTCAAAACAATGTGTTCTTGACACCAAAAAGACACTAAAAATATCCGTACATTGGTTCATCCGCTGACGCAAGGAAAACAAGAATTTTAACTAAATTTTTGAACGTGCTAGAAACTAAAAAGTTAATAAAATAATAAAAAAGTACTTTGGTCTTTTCTTTTAATAATAACATTTTGAACACAAAACTTTGTTTTTATTAAATTTAGAGTCTTTTTTTATTATGGTATGACCTTTTCTAGAAAACTTTTGGAGGTACCTAAATATATATATTATATATTTTAAATAACTTGAGGTTAATAAATTTAATTTTAATTTTTTAACATTTTTATAGTCATGTATAAAGTAATAATTCTTGGGAAAAGAGTAATTCTTTCAGAAATGGAGATATTTGAAAAAAAAAATATCATTATCTCAGATTTATATTTTGATAAGATTCGATAGATGCACTCTCGAGTATTTTTCATCTAAGTAAGTTACTTTCACTTTTGTTATGAGATCTTACCAATATTAATAATAATGGACTATTGCATACTTAATAGATACTGCGCCTCAGGAGTAGGCAAGGAGTCAATAGTTCAAGTCGAGTCAGTAGTTCAAGTCGAGTCAAGAGTCGAGTCAGAGGCAGTCCGAAACAGAGTCGCGTTCAGTCAATTACTGCAAGACATTGGAATAGTGATACTGGTCGAGACTACATTGTTCTCCCTACTAAACCTGATTGTTCGTACTAACACTTTCTACTTCTCTGTATATATTCCTGTTTGTAATATATCTGTATTATTCCATATCCGTGTTCGAGTTCTTCTTTATTGGTTCTACCTTGGACTATCACCGTGGTACAAGGAACCGGACCATAACAAGTTTTAATAAGTGAGGGATTATTTAGGTCAAAATTGTGATTGAATTTATTTCTATGTATAACTAATGCATTTGATAAATTATTGTTTATAAGATCATTTTTGTGTTCATAGATACTTTCTTTTTAATTTCTGCAAGTTTCCCCAATGTATTGTATGGAGCAGTTGTGGCAAATTATTTTATATACAGGTGCCTTAGAATGATTATTGCTATGGATATTTTATGTTTCGATCATATCCATAATAGTTTTCGATGGGGTTGTGATCATAATAAAAATAACCTCATTTACCTATTTTCGTTTATTAGACATTAAAATTACGTCCCTTAGCATCCTCCATAATCTATCGAGATATTCCAGTTAGCTTGATGCACTTTTAAGAGCGTTTCCTAAATTCAAAAAATTTGAAAAACTAATCACATTTTTATTTTAATTTTTAAATATTGTGTTGGAATGTGCCACGAAAAATAATTGATTTCGTCTCTTTCTCTCCTGATGTCGTAGCGACGAACACAGTCTCCACTTCTGAGACTGAAAACTGCCCTCCTTCTCATTCCAGCCCTTTACATAGAGCTTGGTAACTCACCTATGCAAAACACCAACAAGCCAGCTACCAATCACAGTTCCAGCGCCTGCCCACCTCCACTCGCTTTGGGGGTGTCAAGTTGACCGACCAACTCATTACACGCCCCCCTGATCTTAAGATCACAAAGCTTCTCAATTCGAGAGATGTTCACGTCTGTCTGGTGACCACGTCCGCATATATACAACTTGCACGCTTGACATATTGGGATAACCACACATGCGCGAACTCGTTTGCTCCGAGGTGGCAGATTTCCAAATTCATCCCGTGTTGCAAAATAATAGGGTTTGATAAAGTTCTAAGATAAATTTTCCTTCTGTCTTTATTCGTATACAGCTACACACACACACACACACACACACACACACACACACACACACACACACACACATATATATATATATATATATATTATAAATTAACTGATCCAAAATATGGTTTATGCTCTGTAAGTTTACATTGAGCACTGTTTTGTAAAAATAAAAAATATCAATAAGAACACC